GTCAATCACATGCAAATGGCATGGTCAACCACCGACTGACCCCCCAGCCGCCACCACCGGCTAGCACGAGCACGCTGCACCGACCACGCAGCGCACACACGTCTCTCTCTCTCTCACACACACATACATCGACTTGAAAAACTCAAGTGACGAGAGATGAGTGAGTCAACATGGTTCTCGTCGGTGGAGGACCTCTCCTCCTCAACTGCCGCTTCTGCTTGCCGGTCGTATGAGTCGTCGTCGAGTGCGGACCAAAGAGCGGAGGACAACAAGCTGGTGGTGGCGGACCCGGGCACGCGCGGCAGCACTGGTGCGGAAGCCGAGGAAGGAGACGCACTGTCTCATGTTGAGACGCATACTGCACATGCTGGTTCCCAGTCACCTGAACAGAGCAACGAGTCCTATGCAGAGCATGACAGCGGCTCTCTGGGCCTGCGGGTGGAGACCGACTCAGCGGCTGCCACTCCGTTTGGGACGCCAACTCCGGGCGACCGTCGTACGCTCGCGGACGCTGGTTCCAGCTCATCGTCAGCGCCTGCTCCGGCACCTGCGAGCCCGCCTCTGTCCAAGGGCGAGAAGCGGCGCGAGCGGAAGAAACGCAAGGCGGAGCGGACTAAGCAGAAGCGGACAAGGGAGCGCGAGGCGCGCAAGACGGAGACGGCGGACGCGTCGGCGGCGGCTGTCGCACGTGCGGACGCTATCGCTGCCGCTGCGTCCAACGCACCCGTGGCCAAGGCTTCGATTATTTCGCTCATGACCTATGGATGGGCTTCGGCGCTGATGCGGGCCGGTGCGCGGGCGGCGCTTGAGTTTGACGATCTCTGGGCTACCGCGCCCGAGGACCTCGGTGCTACTGGTGTCGAGGCCTACCGTGCCACCCGGGCCGAGTTTCCGGACGAGACGGTCCGGTCAACTTTTGTACGCACCTTTGTGCCGCAGCTGCGGATTCTGATTGGCCTGGTTCTTCTGTGGGTCACGGCCATGATGTCTTACACGGTCTTTGTCTTCCGCGAGCTGATGGATTTCCTGGCCTCGGACGATCCGGTCTACCTCGGCATTGTGCTTGCAGTGCTCATGCTCATTCTCACCTTTGTGCGCTCTGTTGCTGTCCATCTCATCTTTTTCACCTCGATCCGGGTCGGCGTGCGGGCCAAGTCGGCGCTGTCTCTCATTGTGTTCGAAAAAGTGCTCCGCGCCGGCGCCGGCACTTCCTCGGTGGGTTCGGTCGTCAATCTTGTATCTGCCGATGCACACTCGATCCTGATGGCCTTTGGCTTTGCCGTTTGGCTTGTCGCTGGGCCTGTCCTCCTCACGCTCGCGCTCATCTTTCTCATTGTCGAGGTTGGGCCTGCCGCTCTGCCGGGCTTTGCGCTCATGCTCGCCATCATGCCGCTGCAGATGTTTGCCGCCAAAAAGATCGGCGAGCTCCGGCACGCCGCACTCGCTGTCACTGACAACCGGACCCGGCTCATGTCTGAGATTCTGGCGTCGATCAAAGTCATCAAGCTCTACGCCTGGGAGTCATCGTTTGCCGATAAGATTGCCGCTGTCCGTGACGCTGAGATGACTCAACTGCGCAAGTCGGCGCTGGTCAAGAAGTTCAACCTCATGCTCTCGTTCTCGTTCCCGGTCCTCGTTGCCTTTGTCGTCTTTGCCATTTACACCTCGACGGGCAACAGGCTGACGGCGTCCAAAGTCTTTGTCGTCCTCTCCATTGTCAACATCTGCCGCTTCCCGCTCATTGTCCTGCCCATGGCCATCAAGTTTACCACAGAGGCCTGGGTTGGCTTCAATCGCCTTGCCGCCTTTCTTGACTCGCCGGACCTCCCGGTCCGCTCTTCCACCCCGAGCTCCACCCCCAGCATTACCATCGACAACGCGTCGTTTACGTGGCCGGCCGCCGGCAGTGATGAGCCGGATCCGGGGGCCAAAGCCCGCGTCACTCTTAAGAACATCGCCTTTGAGGCTGCAGGTGTTGATAAGGTCGCTATTGTCGGACCTGTTGGCTCCGGCAAGTCGTCGCTCCTCGCCGCCATCCTGGCCGACATCCCGCTTGCCTCGGGCGCGGCGCACGAGTCTGCGGTCCGTGTGGAGGGCACCACAGCGCTTGTGACTCAACAGCCGTGGGTGCCAAACGCCTCGCTCCGCGACAACATCACCTTTGGCCTGCCGTTTGACGAGGACAAGTATCAGAGCGTCATCGACGCCACCGCGCTCCAGCCGGACATCGACCTGCTCCCTGCAGGCGACGGGACTGAGATCGGCGAGCGCGGCATCAACCTCTCGGGCGGGCAGAAGCAGCGGGTTGCACTTGCGCGTGCGCTCTACGCCGAGCGCAACATCTACCTGCTCGACGACCCGCTCTCGGCTGTCGACGCCCATGTCGGCAAGCATATTTTCAACGAGTTTGTCATGGGCGCGCTCAGCGACGCGCTTGTGGTCATGGTCACCAACCAGGTGCAGTACCTCAAGGACTTTGACTACATCTATGTGCTCGCCAACGGCTCGGTTATCGAGTCGGGCTCGTACGACGAGCTGATGGCGGCGCAGGGTACGCTTGCTGAGCTTATGGAGAGCTTCCTGGTCTCCGAGGCGCCGGCACCCGCGCTCGACTCGCTGGACGACTCTCCAACGCCACTGCACCACTTGTCGCTGCCGACGCCGGCGGCTGTCTCGGCGTCACGGACTGTTGACTCGCTGCAGTTCTCGCACACCGACCTCGGATCGGTGCACGAGTTTGGCACGTCCGAGGTTGTTGATCCGGCCGACGGGCGGCTCATCGAGGCCGAGGAGCGGGCCGAGGGCTCGGTCGGGTGGAAGGTGTACAAGACGTACGGCGAGGCTGCCGGCTCTCCGTGGGTCATTGCCTACGTGCTCGGCCTGTTCTCCGCTGTCCAGACCGCGCGCATTTCGTCCGACTGGTGGCTCTCGTACTGGATCTCGCAGGACAACGGGCGGGTGGACAAGCTCGACTGGCATCTTGGATGGTACGGGTTCTTTGTCCTACTGCTCATTGTGTTTTGATTGCGCGCGACGTGGCGTGGACGTACTACACGCTCTTGGCTGCGACGACGCTGCACAACACCACGTTTGCGCGGGTGTTGCGGGCACCGATGGCGTTCTTTGACACCAACCCGCTCGGGCGCATCCTCAATCGGTTCACCAAGGACCAGTCGATTCTGGACAACGAGCTCTCGTTTACGCTCTACCAGTCGCTGCAGTGGGGCGTTTATTCACTCTTCGCCAGCATTCTCATTTGCTTTGTGCTCCCGTTCTTCATTCCGTTCCTCATCGTCTTTGGCTACATCTTTTACCGCATCCAGGTCTTCTACCGCAAGACCTCGCGCGAAGTCAAGCGGCTGGAGAACACATGCCGATCGCCGCTGTTCTCGCATGTGGCGTCGACCTTGACGGGCATCTCGACGGTGCGTGCTTACGCGGCCGAGGCACGTTTCTCGGCCAACCACACGGTCAACGTCGACACCCATCAGCGCGCGCTCTTTGCCTCGCTCATGGCGCAGCGATGGGTTGGCTTCCGGCTCGATCTCATTGCGACGGCCATCACGTTCCTGGCAGCGCTCTTTGCGGTTCTCTCGCGCTCGTGGGTCTCGCCCTCCTTTGCCGGCCTTGCTATTGTGTACGCCATGCAGCTCTCGGGCATGTTCCAGTGGTTTGCGCGAGTGACGGCTGAGGCCGAGGCCAACATGACGTCTGTGGAGCGGCTGGCACACTATTCGTCGGCCATCGCCGTCGAGGCGCCTGCGGTGATTGAGGCGACCCGGCCGGATCCGTCGTGGCCGCCGTCGGGAACCGTTGTCTTTTCGGACGTCCGCATGTCGTACCGGCCAGACCTTCCACTCGTTCTCCGCGGCGTTTCGGTTGTCATCGAGGGCGGCGAGTCGGTCGGAATTGTGGGCCGGACCGGGGCTGGCAAGTCCTCGCTCGCAGTTGCGCTCTACCGGCTGGTGGAGCTGACCGGCGGCTCGATCGTCATCGACGACGTCGACATCTCCGCCATCGGCCTGGATCAGCTCCGGTCGAAGCTCTCGATCATTCCGCAGGATCCGATCCTGTTCCAGGGCACGGTGCGGTCGAATCTGGACCCGTTCGACGAGCACACCGACGATGCGCTGTGGAACGCGCTGCGGCGGGCGCACGTCGCCGACGCCATCCGCGGCCTCGAGCTCTCGCTCAGCGCGCCTGTCGATCCCAACGGCGCCAACTTCTCGGTCGGCCAGCGGCAGCTGCTGTGCATGGCGCGCGCGCTGCTGCGGTCGTCCAAGATCCTAATCATGGACGAGGCGACGGCAACCGTCGACGTCGAGACTGACGCGCTCATCCAGGAAACCATCCGGTCCGAGTTCCGCGGCTGCACGGTGCTGGTCATTGCGCATCGGCTGGAGACCATCATCGACGCCGACAAGATCATGGTCCTTGACCAGGGTCGTGTGGCGCAGTACGACTCACCTCATGCCCTGCTCACCTCGGACGAAGGCCTCTTCTCATGGCTCGTCAACCAGACCGGTGAAGCCAATGCCGCCCACCTCCGGCGCAAGGCATCTGCTGCTTTCCGGGGCAAGGCTCTCGCCCGGCCGTCGGCATCCGACTCGTCGGCTCCTCCATCCACCTCGGCCTCGGCCTCGGTCTCCAAGTCCAAGTCCAAGTCCAAGTCCAAGTCCAAGTCCAAGTCCAAGTCCCAGTCCAAGTCGAAGGACAAGTCCAAGTCCAAGTCCAGGAAAAAGTCCACGTCTGAGGTCAATGCCAAGTCCAAGACAAAGGTGAGGAAGACCAAGCGGATTCGGCGTTCGCAGCTCTAGCGATTCGGCGTTCGCAGCTCTAGCATCCGTTCGCTAGCCTCTACCATCATGCCCGATCTAGGCGCGATTGCGTAAACAACAACATCCGCCTCCCCTCCCCCCCCTCCCCTCCCCCTCTTTCCTCCCCCTTGCTCGTCTCAAGAATAGCTTGACTCGACACTCGACTACTACCGACACAGGCAAAGGCAGTGACGGCTTGAAGCTGCGCTGCCCGCCCGTCGCCCGTCGCCCGTCGCCCGTCGCCCGTCGCCCGTCGCCCGTCGCCCGTCGCCCGTCGCCCGCCCGCGCCCCTGTCTGCCTCGCCATCCCGCGCTGGCGGCCCCTCCCCCTCTCCCCACAACATGTGTTCGTAAGCGGACTTCATACCCATATAACTGGAATGTCGTACATTATGCCTATAAACCGCGCCGTACCTTGAATTTGTGGCTGTGAACATGCGCCTCAACTGGCGCCTAAAGTCAGATCAGTGTTTGAGGTAATGGTGGGCTGACCGCCAGATATGCGGCGGTGCCTGAGGGTGGACTTTCGTGAAGGGAACTCCGAGAACGGACTAGTGCCAAAAAAATCATCTAAACATCGAGCTTCGCTGCATAGCGTCGACGGCCGAGAACAAAGAGGAGTC